TCACGGTTGAACTTCATTGTTATTTGGCGTAACTGTCAGGTTGTTTCCACTTCCTCTTTCTTAGGTGATGACGGAAGTAACACCGCTGTCGGGCTCAGAAAAAAGGCGAAATCTACAAAATAGTGGGGAGATTTGCCGTGCAGTCAAATCGCGCGTGATTTGAGCCCCTGCTTAACGTGGTTGTTGAGCATTTCGTCAGGAACTCCTGCAGCATGTGGAATCCCAGAAGAGCACTGAACCCTTTTCTCGCGTTTCGGTTGCGGTGACCATAGTGTTATGGGATAAGCAGCCAATTCTCGTAATAGGGTGGCCTCCAGGAAACTCCACCTTCCAAACAAACCCTTCTTATCTTGAAAGTCACCGATTGGCGTGTGTTAGAGAAACTCTGAGACCACTCTTTGACGGAAAATGAGTGTGGAAGAGTTGAAGACACAAAGCCATCCCAAAAATCAAGCCAACTCTTCCATAATGTGTGCATGCTGCGCCAGCTGCATTAAGTTCGGCTTTCTACACGCTACTTTTTACTGTCTGTCTGAATTTCTCTTAGTTTTTTTTTCTGCAGTGTGTTTGGCAGAGACAGGAACTCATATTGAAAAAGGAAACCCAGTAAAAAGTGACAGGACACGAAACGGGTTCCACGCTATCATATGGCACCTGCTCGCACGATCTGGAACCTTGGCTGCATTTTTAGCGTACTACCCCGACTTTTGAATGTGTCCTACTCATTTTCCGTTGAACAGTGGTCTCAGAGTTTTCTCTAACACACGCCCAACGGTGTCTTTCAAAAAATTAGGTTTTTTTGAAGGTTGAGTTCCTGAGCACCCCTTGGGAGAATTGGCTGCTTTTCCCATAACACTACGGTCATCGCAACTGAAACGTGAAGAAAAGGGTTCAGTGCTCTTCTGGGTTCCACATGCTGCAGAGTTTCTGACGAAATGCCGCAACAACCACCCTTAGCAGGGCTCAAATCACGCGCGATTTGACTGCACGGCAAATCTCCCCACTATTTTGTAGATTTCGCCTTTTTTCTGAGCCCGACAGCGGTGTTACTTCCGTCATCACCTAAGAAAGAGGAAGTGGAAACAACCTGACAGTTACGCCAAATAACAATGAAGTTCAACCGAGAAACATGGGTGGATTTATATTTTTGCACAATCGGCAAAGTGGCCCTTTTCTGAAAAATGAAAATAAAAAAATTTTCTCAATCGAGGAAATGGAAGTATGAGTGTCTTACACGAAGTTATGAAACGCTGGTCAAAAGCGGTTTTGCATAGTCACAGCTAATGTCTCTGGGAAGCTATTCAACAGTTAATCCATTGAAGAAATTATGTAGCAGCTTCAGGCCGGAGCGATTACGGTAAGCCTCGTTGAGCTCGACGGTGACGGCAGATGACGTCATATTCTGAAGACGGTGGGGGCAGTGAAGGAGGGCCTGCTTCTGTTTACGGGGGAACACCTAAGAATATTCGGCCGTTTGTCCTGACACGGTTCGGTTTGTTTTTCTGGTTGTTGCCGAAGGTGCGCCTCGAGTGCATATTAAATAAATAAATAAACTTTCATTAACATCGGCTCCCTGTGCGACGAAAAGTTCGATGATGTGCGCCATGGGCAAAGTGTCTCTTTTTTTGGCCACCCCTGTATATATAATTCCCTAAGATTGTTTGTCTGCCTATGTCTGTGTGCGTCCGTCGGTCTGCCACGAAATTCATAGTCGCATCGCAGCGGTCGTCAGAAGTTGGTTTTGAAATGTGATATAGGAAGTGGGGCGGGAACATATATTTGGGGGAAAAGTGATAAATACTGATAAGAACTGATAAGGGGCGTTAGTCCGCGAAAGTCACGAAATTTATATCGTGTAGCCGCAGACGCAGAGAGGTGCTGCTTTTTTGAAGGGTCATAACTGATGGCTGAAAAAAGGGATAAAGGCTGATAAGGGCTGAGAAGAGCAATCAGCATAAGAACGGATGAGTCACTGAAGTTGATATTTGGATACGCGATAAGAAATGCATTCCATTTCGTTTGCGATGTCGTCGTCATAGACCACTAATCTGCAGGAGCTTCTTGAGATGGTCGCTGTTTGTGACCACCCCAAGAAGTTGTTCATCGCTCAACCATCCTCAACGATAGTTGTTTGCGCTACGTCCTTATTGAAAGTTCGAGTAATCGTATTATTATACAAAGTTTATTCGGTCGTTATACCATGTCAGTTTCCGAACAATGGATGTTTATGGATATCGACGAGCGGCGGGAAATGACCGCCTGCTCAACAACACCACACTAACCTTTCGCTTACAATAGCATTCAGATCCATTACAAGCATGCATGCGCCTAATACAACAACCCAACTGTGCTCAACACTTCTACTGAAGCCTTCTTTGCTGCGCGGTAGTGAGCGGAGCCAAACTGGTGAACAATAACGTGCATTGGTGTTTTTCAACGTTTTTTTTTCTGTTTCTGCTTGACACGTTTTATGTCAAGAAGCTATGAATCAGGGCGGAAGGTGGTGTAGTGGCAAGTGGCACGCTTACCACGCGAGCGGTCCGGGGATCAAATCCTGGGTCGTGAGTCGCCCGGGCCAACCAAGCCTTCCATCCCTCCGGGGTCGGTTAATTGGTACCAGACTTGTCTGGGAGGATAAAAACACTGACTTGTACATCGGCTGGCCCCCGCAAGTCATTGTATAGGCCACATCGCATTCAAACGCCACTACGAATGTACAAATGGAAGTAGAATGCGTGCCGCATCCCAAAAAGGGATTGATCAACGGCAAATGCTTTATCCTTTATCCTTATAGCCTCAAAACTTCTTAACAAAAACTCCTATGAATTTTTGAATTTTTTTTCGAACATCGACATTTTTTCTTTTTCTTTCAACAACAACATTTTTTCGTGGACATCCATACTCGTCATCTGTCCTACCATCTCTAAGCGTAATACTAACTCATTCCTATTCCAATGCAAAGCCGCTCGTCTATCCAAGAATAAACGAAAAACAAGTGGAGCATTCCTGTTTGCGTATCATTGTACATCGAAGGTGCATCACCATATTTTTGCAGAGGTTTTGTATCACTGTAGGCATTGAGTTTCCGTCAAAAAAATTTCACTGCTGCACATTCAGGCTTCCATCTTCTGAGAGCTAAACTAGTTTTATCTAGAGCATTCGGGATCCATGTTTCTTTTAAGTGATTGTATATTTCATTAACCGGAATGATTTTTGAAAACGCTGATTTCCTTTTGTAGTTCACTGTTATCATCATGGTGAATCTTTAATGCAGGATAAAATTTGGCTTGGAGAGTACAGTCACAGAAGAGAGAGGCGGACGTGGATGATCGAGAGGGGTGTTTGTTTTCTAACACGGGCTTTTTTCGACCTTGTTCTATATTGCCTGTCATACCTATCAACAATCACTCCCAACCTTTTAGAAATTAGACGATTAGAGAAGCCAGGGTCAATACGGTCAAGGATTCCTTGACAGGAGGACGTACGTGTTTTGGTGAGGTGGGGGAGGGTCGTAATTAATGGTTAGAATTTTGTAGGTGAGAGCAGTGAGGGATGTGTTGGAAAACATAGTGACGGCTCTAACGTCAAATTTGCTGTTTTATCAGCCACGTTACTTCCAGATCGACGGCAACTTTGCAACACAATTGGTGTCGCGTACAACCAGGATCACACGGTGCTATTGGAAACATCGACCATCGGGAGTAGGTGACGGACCAGGGAAAGTTACATGTACCAGAATTTCTTCACGCGCCGCAATTCACTCTGTTTAGAGGCAGGGTGTGGGTACTTAGGACAGAAAGCGACATTTTCGCGCTTCGCAATGCGACATCGCGCGGCAGGCTAGCGCTCCCGCAGCGAAAACACTACGGTATGAAGAACGCGCGATTGGAGCAGCTTTTTTCGCATGCGTGAATTTGTAAGTTTCTGATTTATTGCTTGCCCACGCTCACACTCATTGTATTGAGACATGCGGTGAATCACCAATTCTCTCTCATACGATTTCGAGTGATGCCGTGAAAGTGGTATTCTAGAATTCTAGAACACTTCAAATTATTGGTGAACGAGGTAATTACACACTCATCGGCCTAGGTAATACTCTATATATCATAGCAAACTCCTGACGAACTGATCCTTTGTCGTGAGTCTCATCGAACGTCCATCAACCACTCCTCTTCCAGGGTCTACCATCCATCCTCTGCAAAATTAACCTACCTCTTTCTTCACTGCTATTTAGTGGTCCTCTTCTGGTGGCCATTTCCTCGTTCACTATCAAGTCCATGGTTAGTAAGCTTCAAATTCCTTGTCGCACACAGAGCAAATAACGCGCTCCATTTGGCCGATGTCAGACTTTGCGATTGGAGCGATTGTGCACCAATTGCAGGAGCGACGGGAGATTTACACGGCCGACCGATAATTCGGCGCCATCAGCTCGTAAATCTCCCGTCGCTCGCAGCTCCCTGCCACAACGGCCAAGGAGGCACATCACGGCCCGAGCGATGGATCGCTTGAGCGATCCCCGCGGGTCGCTTGAGCGATGATCGCTTGGAGCGATCCGTCGCTCCAAAGTGCGAGCGACGGGAGATTTACCCGAGCGGCGCCGTGTGTATCGGTGGTCGGCGGTGTAAATCTCCCGTCGCTCCTGCAATTGGTGCACAATCGCTCCAATCGCAAAGTCTGACATCGGCCATTCACGCGCCCCTCGTACCGTAGCTGTTTTCGCTGTGGGAGCGCTGGCCTGCCGCGCGATGTCGCATTGCGAAGCGCGAAAATGTCGCTTTCTGTCCTAAGTACCCACACCCTAGAGGCAGTGGCAGCTATTCCTCTGCTTGCCATATCTGGAACCCTGAAAGTTGGCAGAGCCGAGAATCCGCGATGCAGAATTTCCATGATGTTTTCGAATAACTTTTGGCATGGCGAATGGTGTCACTTTGCTTGACCTGCAATGTTTTACGTCCTCATTGTCAGCATTATAGAAAGACTTCCGAACTTGGACTGCAGACATGGTTACGCGTTTTCGAATTCGGCAGCTGATCATTACTGCAACAGCTGTGATTTCATTCATATTCATCTATAATGCATACTCTATTAATGAGACGGATGAGGAGCGAGTCCCTCCTCGGCATAAAATGCCATCGGATCCGGTTATTTTCCATGAGAAAAAGGTGCGCTGATTTTTTTATTGCAATATCTTTCATAACATTCAGCTCGTCAACTTCGCTGGAGCGCTGATTTATCTGGGTCCGGCGTGGTGCTCTCCGTCGCATAAAACTACCGTAGAATTCGAATGGAGTTCAGTCGCTCGTTCCGCGTCATTACGATGAGGAATCTGCGGATTGCTGATCCGCTAGGCGACGTGGCCTCGATCCCTCATTGCCATCAAATGCTCTGCTGACGATAGCTGGCATTTCCATTTGCTTCACCAATGTATCTGACGGTCCCGATCTCACTGTGCTAATTCAAATATGTAGCCAAGGTCTGGGTGGTCGTTCCTCAGGTGTTTATGTTTAGCATACTCAGCGGCCGGGGTTCATTCTAGGGAATATTCGACGTCTGTTATGTCATTTTAGCTGGTGTCAGAGTTCGAGTTCCGTCGCGCGATTCCTGTGAATCGCAAAAATCGCAAGAACCTCATTTGAACATTTGAAACACTGAATATGAAACAAGTAGAATCATGAACAGTCGTCATTCAACCATCACCATCAAGCAGAAATGGCGGCGGGATTGGGAGCACCTCACAAATTGATCGGACATTTGTGATTTCTGTAGTTGTCGTGCGACGGATCGCGGACTCTGACATCAGCCATATGAAAAACTGCACTTATTGGCTGCTCAAGCTGCAAAGTTTGGTTGCTGATAAGCTTCCTCGGCGCAATGTGCCTCGGGGGGGGGGGGGGCAGTCGCCGCGCGCGCTCGTGCGGCAACAGGAAATTCGTGAGCCAGGGGGAGTGTAGCCAATTCAGGGGGGTTGGGGGTGAGGGCAGTCACATGACATGCGTGAGAAGCTGGAATGTTCGAATTTCCTGTTGCCGCACAGCCGCGCGCGGTGACTGCCCCCCCCCCCCCGAGGCACATAGCGCCGCTTCCTCTACACACTCTGCAATTCAATTCTTTTCAGTTCGATTTCAAGATCATTGTTAGCGGTCAGGATAGCGATCGGCAGGACCGAGTAGGTGGTGGAAAATCGATCGGAAGTTCTGCTCGCAGCTTACGTGATCACGTGAGTTTCATAGCGTTTGCATTAATTTCTGTCCTTTGAGCCTATCCTTTAAGCGTTTTCAGAAGTGTCAAATACCGAAACTCGAAATTGATGGAGCAGAAGTAAAAGACTTCTTCTTCAAACCGCAACCGCTGCAGTGCCATAAAAACCCAACCAATTGGGTTTACATTGACGATAAAAATCAAGTGCAGTATATCGAGCAGAGGTGTGCCATTTTTGGTTTTTCAACTGCTTCATTCTGTGATACAAATTCTTACAGAAAGAATGCGAAGTGCCGTGGAAAATATGTGACTCGAAAAGACGATAACAATAATAACTTCACTCCTTTCTACTCTCTCGACAGTGGGAAACCGCTCATGTCAGATTTTGCGACTGTACAGTGTATGGATGGGAAAGATAAATGGTGAGGCAAGGCCAGCTCTTTCCCACTAACTACACAATGTCGAAAGAATTAATATTTTTGTGATGTTTCACTTGTTCCTCTAAATAACCGACAATGAAATTTTAGGAGCGGCATACTGATGAGCGTCGTAAGGCAAGATGAAAGCCAACTTTTAAGAGAAGACGTAACACCTGCACCAGACAGTTCAGGCCTAAACATCTTCTTCCTAGGGTTTGATTCTCTCAGCCATATGTCATTCAGAAGGAAGTTGCCGAAAACTGTAGAGGTGCTAGAGAAAACTCTTGGTTCTGTGGTGTTGAACGGTGAGTGCGTATACTAGCAAGTTTCTGTCAGTGCGAAATTTTTTTTTAAATTAAGGTTATAATATTGTTGGTGATGGAACGCCTCAAGCTTTCATACCTATTCTCACCTCTGGTACAGAAGAGGAGCTTCCGCTAACAAGGTTTACTGGTTTCTCTTTTTTTTAGTGGGACTAAATCTCAAGTGGCAAGTTGAGAGAAGGTCAAATGAGGAATTGTGCCCGGTATCCTAGGTGTATTTTTTCATTAGGAAACTTATTTAGCGTCACGCCGAGTCTTTATTACCACGTTTATAATGTGTTATAATGGCCAAGAGCTTATCTATTGTCTTACATGATTGTTCACGGCGTTCTTGATGCACTCCCTCTGATGCATTCTCCTTCTTGATTTCCACATGGTTGACATTGGATTAGGGGTTTGTCCCAAAGGCAGGCTTTGCGAAATTTTTTGATTAACCCATAACGGACGGCCAGTGTATTTGTTCGCGTGCGCCACCATGTGGCGCACGCCGCCACCCAGGGTAGGGTTTATGTAGGCTTATGTGAACAGCAGGGTAAGACGGGGCTAAAGTAGGTGTCGGAGTCTCATCATCCGAAAAAAGAGATTTCCGTTGACGACAAGTTCGTAACCCGCCTTTCCGCTCTAAAACTAGGGTGCAAAGAATGAATGGAAGCTGTAGGTGACATTATCGAAAAATGCGAAACAACAACCCCGAGCAAGGATGTGGCTATATTTAGGGGAAGGGGTCTCGGGACGTGCGAACCATGGGTAAGCCACCCATCAAATAATAAACTTATGTAAATTAAAACAAAATTTATTGTAGGTTTGTCAAAAATCCAGCCGTCCAGGTCCTGGGAAGATATGTTATTCCACATTGCTGAGAGTATATATGGGTATATTAAGATTGCTAGAAACATTCCAAAAACAAAAGAAATAGTCGTGCGCCACCTTGTGGCGCACGCCGTCCGTTATGGGTTAAGGTTATTTCAACAAAAGCAATATCCATCATCAACATGTGGACTGTTGCTATCAGTGACTTGATGCCAACGATCCACCAGAGTGTCGACGCCGTGCTCCTAGAAGTTCGGCAGTTTCAAGCTGGAAAAGGCTGTGAGGTCGATTTCGAGCACCTTTTTTGAATCGTATTTTTCGTCAGTAAGATGATTACTTAGCAAGATGAATAGTTGGCCTTTGGAGGGAGGCTGATCACCGCTGTACGATGGATCTGGTTGCACTTCTCAACTAAGCTTCGAAATCCAGAGCTGTGCAATTTACGAAACACGTGGTCTCGGTTGTCGCGGAGCGGACGTACTTTATTAAATTTGGGGAGTTTTCTGACCAGCTTCCAGCCTTGATTGAAGGAGACCTAGGCTGTTACAAGGCCGAAGCTGTGGAGGAGTTCTCGGTGGCTTCTTCGAGATATGCTCCCCACACGTGAGCCATCGACCTCTATCAATCTTGTACCTGAAGCGTCTGCGTGTGGCGGTTACATAGCAAATGAACTCGTGCGGGTAGCTTTTAATGGGGAGCACAGCAGGTGTCAGGGTTTTCTCGAGGCTGTAGTCCCAGAGAGAAGCAGGATTGCACCATTTTGATACCTCATGAAGAACGACGACGAAGAGATGTACACTAAGCAAACGTAACTCCTGGGTTCGACCGATTTGTGGCTCAGCAGAAGTCCATAATTCAAAGTGTGAAAAACATGGCTCTCTTCGTTTTCGGTTTTAAGTTCGAAGAAAGCAGCTAAGGTGGGCATGGTTCGCGTATAGGTTACTCCACGAAGTGGGCTTTTCGTAGCCTACTTGCTCATATTCAGAAATCGCTTTTGGCATGAGGTGCAAAAAAGGGGCACGAACCTATGGGACAACCTAATACTTCATTGTTGTCTTGCTGATACACTACATTGTCTGCTAGGTGTATTTTGCAGCCAAGTTGAAGTATCGTCAGTGAGCCACGATCGCAAATATTTTCCTTTTGCTATCTTTTAAAACGTTTGACTTACTATTATATTTTGGTTTTTGTCGACAAATACGGCCTAGATCTCCATTCTTTATAAGAATTCGCATTCATGGCTTGGTGATCGTGGTAATCACCGTGCATTGCTCTGTATTCTCTTCTTAATTTGATTCTCCCTCAAAGCGAAAACCCCAGATGGTCCATATTGAGAGCATATAAGAGGTCGCTGAAACAAAGACTGGCAGTTAGATAGGTGCAAATTTAGGTCCGTCCACATTTTGGTGGACATGTACACTTGCGAGACATGGAGATCGCGCGATTGATTGAAATAGTGTTGTGCCTTTCAGTTCTTGCATGACCTTGGACGTCAAGCTTCTTTGCAAACCTCAATTCATCTAATCATGCGATAAGATTTTTAGAATCAATGCTCTTCCTGTGGGTTCAATGCTGTGAAGCGGCAACCACTCGTCACTTCCTTCAGAACCGGGTCACGGAGATTTCCCAAAGTTGGACCTAAGGATGCCATGCACGGTTTTGTTTTAGAGGTCCCAGCCGTGGGTCGGGATGGACGCCGCTTCTTTCTTGAGCGTTTAATTTCAGGTATGCGCTATGCCCTTCAAAAATTCTAGCAATATCTGAACGCTATTCTAGCGCTAATTTGTGCCGAAGGCATTGTACTTGCTGCATTTGATCTCCTTTCTGTTTCTTCTTGTGCCAATTTACCTTTCTTCCTCTCTTTGTCTACTGCTAGCAACGCAACTTCCTCTAGAATCTACTGTACCAGACTTCTGCCTTACAGTGAAAGTTGCCGGTCGTTGCTTTTGTACCAGCAAAATCTATGAACTATAATTCAAATACCTTATTGATCTAGAAAATGTAGGTCGGCATTTCTCAGTTGTTGTTCTTTTGCAGTATTAATATTATATTGTCTTTCCAGAAAGCGCTTTCGTAATGCGAATTACGTCGACGATGTGTATCCATTTATTTGGAATAACTTTTCTTCTGCTGGTTATGTAACCTTGTATGGGGAAGACGCTTTTGCCATAGGTAGGTTTTTGTCTCGTATTGTTTTGTTTATTTCGAGCTCTCTCCATTGTTTCAAGGTGAAGCTCACTTGTTTCTTATAGTCATTTTGATCCCTTCTGAATGTCTTCTCTATTCTTTAGTGTTGGCTTCATTCTTTGCTGATGTGTATAGGCATCAACAAATATGCGTCATTCACCTCTGCCGACGTTGCGAGCTCCATGCTATACTCCCACTTAAGGTGTGAAGGAGGAATTCACTGTGCGGCGTCGCATCAACTGCATGCGCGTTTTCCCGTAAGGAAATATCTGCAGTGCAGACACTGTGTGGGTATGGGTATGGAATCCCTTTCAGAATTTTCTCTTTCTTATGCATGCGCAACACCTGAGCCAAGCTCAAAATATGAACTAAATACTGTGCGACGTTGCGCGACGAATTTTTGCTAAATACACCGTGCCCGGCCTCGAAGTCTCTCCCATTCATGATGAGGTGGCTTCTCTTCTTCATTTCACTTTCTTTTTCGTGCACAGCACCTTGCAATGGGTCTGCTCTTGGCACAGTAGTCGAGCAGAATTCTCAACCTATGGTTAGGCTTAAGCTTACACTAGTTATAGGCTTACTACGAGCAAACCAAATGTGCCCTTTTTACTTGTCCCGAGGAGGAAAACTGCAACGCACCCAAAGCAGCGTCGCGTGGTCGATACGTATCTAATCCTCATTTGAATTGCAAGCAATCAACAAGACAATCGTTATGACCGCTGCCTTGGGAAAGGTTTCGCGAGAATGGCCTCGTGTGCGAAAAGCGGGAATGTTCGTTTTCTGTCCTAGCGAAGCACACCCATTTACCTTTTTCGATTCGGGATCACCGCCGGATGTGATAGCGAATTTGTTTAAAATTATACCTCAACCCTGTTTGGTGGAACATTTGTGTTGTGTGGCTTTCCGAATTTCTCATTTTCTCATACTTCAGGTACTTTTACTTACCGTCTGAAGGGGTTTCGTAATAAACCGACAGACCATTACCTCAGGCCGATTTTCAAGGAATATGAAAAAACAGGAGGAAACTGCCTGGGATCAGAGCCTTTGCACAAGGTATATCAGTCTAATTGTGATAGGCTGCACGATTTAGACACATTTCTTACAATAGAATTGTTGTGTTCTTGTGATTTTCGAAAGTTTCAATTTGAAAACCACCAATGCCGACGAGGATACGATTCGTTCCTGAGGCTAAACGACAGAAGGCCTGTCGCGCGTCGAGAGGCAGACGCTCAGATGTCAGCGGACGAGTCACAGCGCCGACTGTGCGATGTTGGAGGTACTATAGTACATTTATTTGAGATGACGCCAAATCGCTACAGCACGCGCTGCGACTCGTCCGCATCTATGCCTTCTCGCCGCGCGACAAGCCTCCTGTCGGGTACCTTTTCTAGACGTGTACTACTACTGTATGTTAAGCAATCTCTGATATATCCAAGCTTTGTGGGGCGAATATGATTAAGGGTGGAGCCTTCTTTTGCAATGACTCCTTTGTACATTTATTTTTATTATTTTATAATATTCGCTATTGTATATTCTTATTTCGCTTACTTGTTGAAAGTTAGAACTCTGTCAAGTTAGAGCGTTTCAGACATGGTTTCGATATACTCGAGAATTCATGCGGGTTTATAGTGACATGCCTCGTTTTCTGTTAATGCATCAAAGTTTACTATCTCACGACGACATAAATTTGGTCGAGGTGGAAGATGAGGATCTCGCTCAGATGTTGAAAACTATGCACGACAACGGTACGGTTGATATCTGCAAAGAGTTTCTTGCTACTTTCTTTTCACTTGTAATTTTAGAATTCTGTATGGTTGTGAAGAGCGAAAGCGAGAGATTACAATAAAGTGTGTGTGCAGCAAGGAGGTGGCTTTTCCGTGACCAGAGGCGCGCTAGTTGCAGCGTCTTGGGACTGCCGATCTTTTCTGGGTTTCGCCACCACTTTTGTCGACAAATACGGCCTAGATCTCCATTCTTTATAAGAATTCGCATTCATGGCTTGTTGATCGTGGTAATCACCGTGCATTGCTCTGTACTCTCTTCTTAATTTGATTCTCCCTCAAAGCGAAAACCCCAGATGGTACCATACCTTTGCTACTAATGGAGATGCGCGAGCCTTAGTTGAGAGCATATAAGAGGTCGCAAAGACTGATTTTAGACAGCTGTTATGAGCAGTTAGATAGGTGCAAATTTAGGTCCGTCCACATTTTGGTGGACATGTACATTTGCGAGGCATGGAGATCGCGCGATTGACTTGAAATAGTGTTGTGCCTTTAGTTCTTGCATGACCTTGGACGTCAAGCTTCTTTGCAAACCTCAATTCATCTAATCATGCGATAAGATTTTTAGAATCAATGCTCTTCTGTGGGTTCAATGCTGTAAAGCGGCAACCACTCGTCACTTCCTTCAGAACCGGGTCACGGAGATTTCCCAAAGTTGGACCTAAGGATGCCATGCACGGTTTTGTTTTAGAGGTCCCAGCCGTGGGTCGGGATGGACGCCGCTTCTTTCTTGAGCGTTTAATTTCAGGTATGCGCTATGCCCTTCAAAAATTCTAGCAATATCTGAACGCTATTCTAGCGCTAATTTGTGCCGAAGGCATTGTACTTGCTGCATTTGATCTCCTTTCTGTTTCTTCTCATCTTGTGCCAATTTACCTTTCTTCCTCTCTTTGTCTACTGCTAGCAACGCAACTTCCTCTAGAATCTACTGTACCAGACTTTGTCTTACAGTGAAAGTTGCCGGTCGTTGCTTTTGTACCAGCAAAATCTATGAACTATAATTCAAATACCTTATTGATCTAAAAAATGTAGGCTCGGCATTTCTCAGTTGGTGTTCTTTTGGAGTATTAATATTATATTGTCTTTCCAGAAAGCGCTTTCGTAATGCGAATTACGTCGACGATGTGTATCCATTTATTTGGAATAACTTTTCTTCTGCTGGTTATGTAACCTTGTATGGGGAAGACGCTTTTGCCATAGGTAGGTTTTTGTCTCGTATTGTTTTGTTTATTTCGAGCTCTCTCCATTGTTTCAAGGTGAAGCTCACTTGTTTCTTCATAGTTTCTCATTTTGATCCCTTCTGAATGTCTTCTCTATTCTGTTGTGTTGGCTTCATTCTTTGCTGATGTGTATAGGCATCAGCAAATATGCGTCATTCACCTCTGCCGACGTTGCGAGCTCCATGCTATACTCCCGCTTGAGGTGTGAAGGAGGAATTCACTGTGCGGCGTCGCATCAACTGCATGCGCGTTTTCCCGTAAGGAAATATCTGCAGTGCAGACACTGTGTGGGTATGGGTATGGAATCCCTTTCAGAATTTTCTCTTTCTTATGCATGCGCAACACCTGAGCCAAGCTCAAAATATGAACTAAATACTGTGCGACGTTGCGCGACGAATTTTTGCTAAATACACCGTGCCCGGCCTCAAAGTCTCTCCCATTCATGATGAGGTGGCTTCTCTTCTTCATTTCACTTTCGTTTTCGTGCACAGCACCTTTCAAATGGGTCTGCTCTTGGCACAGTCCTCGGGCAGAATTCTTAGCGACCATCTAGCAGCTCAAGTTACATGTTTGGTTTATACTTAAACCTGTGGTTAGGCTTAAGCTTACATTAGTTATAGGCTTACTACGAGCAAACCAAATGTGCCCTTTTTACTTGTCCCGAGGAGGAAAACTGCAACGCACCCAAAGCAGGGTCGCGTGGTCGATACGTATCTAATCCTCATTTGAATTGCAAGCAATCAACAAGACAATCGTTATGACCGCTGCCTTGGGAAAGGATTTCGCGAGAATGGCCTCGCGTGCGAAAAGCGGGAATGTTGTTTTCTGTCCTAGCGAAGCACACCCATTTACCTTTTTCGATTCGGGATCACCGCCGGATGTGATAGCGAATTTGTTTAAAATTATACCTCAACCCTGTTTGTGGAACATTTGTGTTGTGTGGCTTTCCGAATTTCTCATTTTCTCATACTTCAGGTACTTTTACTTACCGTCTGAAGGGGTTTCGTAATAAACCGACAGACCATTACCTCAGGCCGATTTTCAAGGAATATGAAAAAACAGGAGGAAACTGCCTGGGATCGGAGCCTTTGCACAAGGTATATCAGTCTAATTGTGATAGGCTGCACGATTTAGACACATTTCTTACAATAGAATTGTTGTGTTCTTGTGATTTTCGAAAGTTTCAATTTGAAAACCACCAATGCCGACGAGGATACGATTCGTTCCTGAAGGCTAAACGACAGAAGGCCTGTCGCGCGTCGAGGCAGACGCTCAGATGTCAGCGGACGAGTCACAGCGCCGACTGTGCGATGTTGGAGGTACTATAGTACATTTCATTTGAGATGACGCCAAATCGCTACAGCACGCGCTGCGACTCGTCCGCGACTCTGCCTTCTTGCCGCGCGACGGGCCTCCTGTCGGGATACCGTTTCTTTAGGGTACTCCAATTCAATTTCGGCTGAGGGTCACGGCCTCACTGCGGCAGGCAGCGTTCGCGCGCTGCCAAACTTGCGACGTTTTTTATGACTGGGTCTAACGGCCTTGCCTATGAATTGCTGATTGTGAGGTTAGTGATAGACTAAAATTCCAGACACCAGTGACCACCTAGGAGGTCACCTATAAGATTCCTCGCAGTTAATGAAGCCCCATTGTACATCAGCTGTCGGATTAAAGATTCCTATTGAATATAATGAGGCTTTTTATTGATCAGCTGCCTGAATTGTTATCACAGAGTGATAATCTGGCTAAATCGGAAAAATATCACGTTCCAAGAGCAGTGGAACGGTGAGGAAGGCATTAACATCAGTATGACAGAATAAGTTTGTAATAATGGCAAAGGACAAGGATTTTGTGTTTAAGGGGCAGATATCATTATACGTGTTCACGACTGGCAGACTCTTCTAATCCTGACAAGTCCCTAGATCAAGAATCCTTGAATCCAGCACGGCGACGTCGCATAGCGGGCTGCGGCGGCTGGCGCGGCGACCTTGACATCGCCACGATTGAATCGTCACGGGCACACCCTTTCTAGACGTGTACTACTACTGTATGTTGAGCAATCTCTAATACTATATCCAAGCTTTGCGGGGCGAATATGATTAAGGGTGGAGCCTTCTTTTGCAATGACTCCTTTGTACATTTATTTTTATTATTTTATAATATTCGCTTATTAGTATAATTATTCCTACTTGTTTGAAATTTGGAACCGCCTGTTCGTTTCAAGACAGGTTCATATCCAGAATATTCGGGTAGAGGACATGCTCTGTTTTCTGTTGATGCATCAAAGTTTACTATCTCACGACGACATAAATTTGGTCGAGGTGGAAGATGAGGATCTCGCTCAGCTGTTGAAAACTATGCACGACAACGGTACGGTTGATATCTGCAAAGAGTTTCTTGCTCGTAATTTAGATTCTGTATTAAGTTGGAATAGCGAAGCGAGATATTACAATAAAGTGTTGTGATGCAGCAGGAGTGGCTTTTTCCGTGACCAGAGCGCGCTAGTATGCTAAGGTCCTGGGACTGGCGATCTTTTCCGAGTTTCCCCACCCGTGCTCCGCCGCAGTCTAGCTGTTTCTCACCTGTTACTCATCGTTCGATTTATATTTTATAAAGGTATTCTCGCTCGAGCGCTGTGACATACGAGTATTCTCCATGGAATGGTCGCCTATCAGTGGAGGGCAAACGCTAGCGACACTTCTGATTTGCCCCTAGCGTAGTTAATGACTGATGCCAAGCCCAATCATAGGCTTATGAGCCAATATGTACATGTATTAGCATAAGCCTAACCTCAGGATTCAGTGATCGCGGAACTCTGGTGATCTGACCTCAGGAGGGGAACTGAACGTCTCCCGTCTTTGGCATATCACCAACGGGGAAAGGATGTTGAGCAAAACGTTGCACCTGGTCACGATGGCGACGATCTGGTTGTGCGATCCTTACTACTTAAGTGCTTAATCAAAATTTACGGCTTACAACTCGTGCGTGCGGTAATTTCGTCCTCGGCCTCAAATTTACGGCCATAGCCGCTCAGCATAGGCTTTGACCACCCATCGCGGGACGAGTGTGTGGCTGGCAATGTGATTCGTTGGCTTCCATATCCCATTTGCTATTATAATTATCTAGGTGAGCTGAACAACTCACTGGTTATTCTCATGGCTGACCATGGCCATCGCTTCGCCAAACTGAGAGCAACTCATCAAGGGCAACTCGAAGAGGTTGGTATAAGTAGCTTTCGTTGTATGGCTATAACAGTTTAAGCGTTTAATCACTATAGATTGCTCCCTTGTTGTGAAGGAGTAAGTGATCCTCATTACGTTAAATAGTCCCACGTCTAATCTTGAAATATAAAATCGCATCTGCATATGAACTCTCGGCTCTCGTTGTGTTCATTTTACATTTTTTTGGACTCCACTTTATTCGGATCGTTTATGGATCAGACAAGGTATATGAGTGTGATTTAATGACAGAATGGCAGGAGTGATCAAGAGGAGAAAAATAAAAATGAGATGTGTACACTCGTCGGTAAGAATACAACTATCTAAAAATTGCAAAACGCGTTGTAGTAGCACTTTACTATTCCAATTCGTTGCTGCCAGAAGCTCCTTTGGCCACGTCTGACACCTGTTCTTTAAGAATACAGTATCGCCTCTTTATTTCGACTCTTGAGCTGAGTCCCGCAGAGTTGTCGGTAGCCTCATCTTTGAGCGCGGCAGTTGACTTGACGATTTCCGAGTGAAAATTGAGCCTCATTATAAGACACTATAGCTGTGGTTCTGACTAAGGTAATGTAGAAGATCTGCCAAGTTTTCAGAGGCTGCCGTTTTTCTCTATTGCTTTACCAGCAGCCTTCAGAGAGACTCCACACGGGAAGAAGATGTATGAAAACCTCCAGAAGAATAAGGATAGGTGAGCCTAAGTCGAATATTGCTATAATTGAAATTTGCATGTTGAAAACCCTGTCAACTAAACAACTAACTTTTCGCCTAATTTTCGACATTCTTTTTTCTTTTTTCTCTTCCATTTTTTACATCTATCAGAGAGGATGATGAATCAATAGGGACATTTTTTGTGGAAGTTTTAGCCTGCTGAGAGGTCAACTATACCCTCTTTTACCGCACAATTCATGAATATATGCATATTTTCGTGCGCGTTATAGAAGATATACTCACCATAAAAATTGTTAAACTTTCTTTTATGGAAAAATTAGCTAAACACCCGGTCCGCTGGACATCGCAAGAACTCAGCAGGTCCTCCTTCTCCCCCAGAAGAGATTTGGGAGTTCGAAGCTACTCAAATAGAGTGTTTTAGTCAATGTTAATTAATGGTATTTCAATGGGTATCATGAAATTAGCGAGGAGCCAACTATAACTGATATAGTTATGTTTAGGACTCTATCAAAGGCTCTGTCGCGATTAGATCCTTGGAGAAAATCCCTACTCAAGCGAAGTATTGCTACCCCTAGGGGTGGTGGTGCTGTCGCAGTTGGAAAGTGCTCGGTAAGGGAACCAATCGCCAACGAACTTCGCCTGACCGCTGCGACCGCTGCTTCTGAATGTTTCAACTTTCAATTTTTGTTCATCAATTTATGGCTAATTTGGTTTCTGACGAACTATTGTGGCTCACCTACGAGTTGATGATAAGGTGTGAGGCAGACTAAGTCGATTGAGGGTTTATAGAAAAGCCAGATTAAAGGGGTAGTTCTGCTACCTATAAACAAATGTGATGTCAAACTTTTTTTCTGTTCAGCTTGCATTAGCATGCCGTTTAGGCTTTCGACACCATTCGATATCCATGCAACACTTATGGACCTACTTCACTTACCACAAGATCTGACGACGGATCAGGATACGAAACAAAGATCTCTCTCGCTCTTCCGACCTATCCCTGAGGAGCGGACCTGTGCAGATGTTTGTTATATTTGGTTTTTGTCGGGTTGCTACTTTGCAGCTCAAACGTCAACATGAAATTGAATTTTGCACCCAAACACTGCATTTCCGCAGTGGCAAGGGGTTTGGAAATGTACCACAATTTGACCCGATTCCTTCCATCAGTGGTTTTCTCCATTCCCGAAAACTGCTCCGTAGTATCTTTCTAACAGTTGTATAAAGAACAAATTTGAATGCTCAACGGTGAAAATTGACTAGGCTCCTAACATTGTTGAGCTCGATCGGTGTAAACATTTTGCAGATTTTTTTTCGAGGGAAATGTTTTCAGGCTGGTGTTGAACCGCACTGGTGCACTTGTTTGAATTGGCAGGACGCATTAACTTCACCTAGCGACCGAGCTTTAGCAGAACAACTTGCAGAGGCCGTTGTGGAAGTGATCAATCGGCAGTTGAAGGACGTTTTACACCTGTGCGCCAAGTTGGACTTGAGAGAACTTGTCGAAGCGAAAAAGTACGAAATCATTCTCATTTCAATTTCTTTTTGCCATATATCATGTGCGCATGAATGAATCTCGTTATTCTCAGATTAGTGCCGAACGAAGGAGTGTTGAAATACAAAAATGTGAAGGACATGGATGGCTTCGTTCCTGATTTGAGCGGTGACACGGGGACAGCCTTCGCACACTATCAGATCAAATTACGGACCAAACCTGGGGAAGCAATCTATGAGGTTAGTTTGTCATACAAAATGAGCCATGCTCAAGGGTCACTGTCTTTGAGGCCCATTGATGGGCGCTCGAATATTTCGTTCCTCGTTAGTCAAATGGATTATGTCAGGCTTTTCTGAGATGTTTTAAACACCGACATAAAAATGGGCTTGCATCTCTAGTCGATGTAATAGATATGCATTCAAACACTCCTTTCGAACAGAAGATCTTCCTTAACGGATTTATCGCCGCCAAGCCTTCCATCATTTGGAAAAAAATTACTGGATAAATTAAGAGCGCTTGGGGCTCCCAATTTATCACACAATTGTGCTCTAGCGAATAAAAACTTGTAACTCAGCGTATTCTGAGCTCTATTCAGCTCTATTATTTCTTTTTGTTTAGGTGACGCTGTTCTACGACTCTAAATTGAAGGAGGTTCATATCGACCTCGGAGCTATCAGTCACCCGAACAAATTTGGTGATGCGCCGCATTGTATTATAAATCAGAATTATTTCCTTGCTACTTATTGCGTGTGTCACGATAAGGTTTAACAGTACAGCTGTTCATCGTGATTTTGCGGTGCAAGTATTTGAGGGTGCTGAGGTAGCAGTTGTGAAGTGAACTCTTTCCATTTCTTCTATGAGCTGCCACTGATTTTTGTCCTCAAAATGCCGCGAATAAGTCTTCCAATATGTTGTATATCAGTGCTTTCTGACCTCCAAACGTGTTTCAAGTGTTTAGAATTCCATGGTGCCGTAGATGATCTTATGGGCAGTAGCTTAGCATTTCTATTCTTCAAAGCTACTTCTCTGTACAAATGCACTTTTTAGTGCAGATACTGTTTTGTTTTGCATTCAGTCTTGCCACTTCAGATTATCTTTGCATAATAGTGGTTGTATGTTTTAGCGTTGTTGTTTTGCTCACTTGTTTTGCTATAGTAGTTGAATAAGTAGGTAAAGATTGTATATCATAGATTTCTTGCGGTTCCTCGATTGTTAAATGGGTATGTTATTTGAATTAGGTTTAATATTTTCGAATTATGAGTGCGTTAACTAATAAAACTCAGCTTGGTCTTGGAGTGAGATTGAGTAGTGTAGTATCGTGATTAATGTACGTTTCATCGGATGTACTTTTTACTAATGTACTTGTCGATAACCAAATGGCTTTAAGTGTCTTCTCGTTCGGCTTTTCCCGAGCAGCAAACTTGTTACCTTGCTGTTTCATAGATGTCGTTTACGGTCGACGTCTACCCGACAAAAGAGGAGATCATCTCAAACGAGAGTGATCTTTTGTGTCAGCGATGTGGAAAGAGGTAGTCCTCAGTTAAATCTTGCTTGTTGATAATTTATACTGTCATCTTCTGTGTGTGCCTTCTCCTCAGTGAATTCTAGGATTTTCTAGATTCTTCACCTTCCTCTGGAACAACAAAGGAAAGTGGAGAATATTTTCACACATTTTTTCGCTTGGGCAGTCCCATTACCGGAGAAATTCCTTCTTCTATGATCTCTCAACTTTCAAAATGAATGTTGCAAAACAACGTGTTCAAGTATTTGTCACGAGAATGTCGTTCGTTTTTGTGACAGCAGAAGACGTGATTGTGTTAATATGAACGGTGGCATGGTCTTTCCTGTAGAATATGGCTCAGTGGTTCGTTGAACTGCATTTTAAAGAAGGATAATTTTCGGCACTATAAAGAAGTTTGGCCTCTAAGGAATCTAAGAGAGGCACTTTTGCGGGCGAAGGGTGAGCTTGTAATGGCTCTGCAAGGCTACCAGTCTCTCTGCGCGCCCAGCGAGGGTAACTCAGGCTAACCTAGCTACTGGATCTCCGCCGTTGAACTCTAGCTGTTTAGCAGAGAGGCCGAACCGAGCGTTTACGTTGGCGACGCCAGCACCGCTTGGCTCGCTCTTTTCAAAAAGGAGGTTCTTGATCTTGGGATTGTGTTGGGGCTTCAAATCACAAATGGGCACTTAAGATTATGCAAGCTCAATCATAGCAATATCCATTTAACACATTCACGACGACGCCCCTTTTCCACTTTTCGGTCGCGTGGGACGGACGCGATTTTGTGGGCGCCGCCGCCTCACCACATAACCGCAGATTTTGTTTTGTAAATGAACAAAAACATGAATGTCACAAAATAATTTCTGCAATGTCCAATGCGTAAAGATTATCTAAACATATAACAGTAGGATTTCGATCAGAACGACAAATAGTGGTTACGAAAAGAGAGCATTTATTCACTTTCCCCGTGAAGGAATTTAAAAGCATTTTACACTCGATTACGAGGTTTGCCCACCTATCTGTCCATTCCTAGCGCCTGGCAAGCGATTATCAGTTGGCAGCCCATATGGGCGGCCATCGGCGTGAATGTGTTAAATAGAAATTCAGAGCACCAGTCCAATCCAGTCCTATTTCTCAACACGTATCGTAGGCTCTGCTTTCAAAAGAAGGACTGAGGACTTTGCTTTGTAATCTTTGCTCCCGCAAATGACTAATGTTGTGTGGCTTCAAGCGTTAGAGCAGGTGGAGAGGTTCAGTCATTGTAGATTTTCGAACGCATCGGCACGTCGGCTACATACGGTGAAAACACATGGTGTATTGTCGTGTGAAGGTGACAGGAGAATCTACGAAAGGATCAGCGACGGCCTCGGTATGTTCATTCATCACAGTGTGTCTCATTAAAATGATCCTGAAAGGGAAGGAAGTGGTGAAGAAATACTTTCCAAATGTTCATTTGCTTCAAACTATGGGGATGTAACAATTGCGTTGTGTTTTGCAGCAATTTTGGAAATGAGGAAGTGTTTTTCGAGCACTCGACACTTTCGACATAATTGTTGGGTTACGGCCACGGTCGTAGTTTGTAATCCCAGCGAGTGCATGAGTGCTGTGGCTACTTGGTCGGTATGTGCCCATCTATAATATTAGGGTTGCACGATCGCGCCATCGCTGGGATAGCAGACTGACAAAATCGCAAGCCTTACCATGGCTCGAGTGCGAAAAAGTGACAGAATGTTGTCTCCTGGAAATTCTTCTGTTAAAAAAAACAAAGTGGAAAAGATCTTCTGCAAGAGTAATAACGAGAGTGAGTCGTAATAATCAGTGAGTAACGCTATTTTCTATGGTTAAAAGCCAGTGATCACGATGATTTGAGGGTGGTGCGGTTTAAGTGAGGTCATTGAATGTCTTTCGAGTTTTCGTGTTA